CGTGAGCTAACATGGGATATATCACGTGATTGTTATTGCTGGTGGATGCTGCAAGCGTTTGTACACACCATTTTTTGTAGAAAAACATAACGATTTCGGATTATTCATCTTGATCAATGCTTAATAATCAGTGGATCAGCAGTACATACGACTTTATGCACAGTATGTAAGTGATGATATTTCGGATTCGCTTTGTGACTGTTTTTCGACTCCATCATAGCCTGGGTACATGCGGGGTGTTTCAAAATGGCGGACAGGACGAGGATTGTGCCAATCGGCCATTCGTACATTTAGAAGAATGGACAAGTATATGAAAACGAGATGTGAGAAAAAAAAAATCCTTGTTTTGACCTAAACTATAAATAGATTCTCATTGTTGATCCGTGCATGGCCAAGGTGGGTTAAACGTTAAGGGTTTGGCGACATCATGAACACTATGTACTTTCTCCACAGTCCCTGACATTAGCCTTTTTCAAATCGGAGGTAACGAACTTTCCTTCGACCTCCCACAAAGATTGTAAGGTATATTTCTTTTACGAACTTCCTGATTCATGGTACGAGTGTGAAACATGTAATTTTATGCAACTTCTCCGACGGGACCCTCACAACTTACCACCGGGATGCAACAATGTTGTTATTGAGTTTAATCAGCTTAGAAACGCTGTGGCTGAATCCTTACCATACACTGTGTGTGTCATTTTGGAAACATCGGGGTTTTGGGACTAACCTACAGTACCTGAGGGAGTTCACCTACGTACAAAACCATGCATGCTGTACCCATCCAGTACCTTTGGTCAATGGTCAATCAAAGATGTGGTGGTCAACACTTGCAGGAGGCTAAGGCCAGTATAAATTAATTTGAAGTTTGATATAATGATATACATGATATATGAGCATAAATCATGGAAATGAATAGATGCATATGTATAGGACAAGAGTCAAATATCTAGTAAGATATTTAGAAAGATGTCTATTCTAAACATTCAAGTAGTATTATATCTTTCTTTAAGATATGTATAACTTCATGAAAACCTGCAACATAATGTCAAAATTTTCCATGCTAATGTCTCAAAAGTTATTGTTTGCAGGGTAAACTTACAGTATACATATGTCAAAATTTTCCATGTTTATTGCTGTATTAAAGTTATTGGTTCGCAATGTGAACTAGCAGTATACATGATGTCAAAGTTTTCCATGTTGCTGCATCAAAGTTATTGGTTCGCAATGTGAACTAGCAGCATACATGACGTCAAAGTTTTCCATGTTGCTGTATCAAAGTTTTTAGTTCGCTATGTGAACTAGCAGTATACATGATGTCAAAGTTTTCCATGTTACTGTCTCAAAGTTATTGGTTTGCAATGTGAACTAGCAGTAAACATGATGTCAAAGTTTTTCATGTTACAGTTTCAAAGTTATTGGTTTGCAATGTGAACTAGCAGTATATATGATGTCAAAGTTGTCCATGTTGCTGTATCAAAGTTATTGGTTCGCAATGTGAACTAGCAGCATACATGACGTCAAAGTTTTCCATGTTGCTGTATCAAAGTTTTTAGTTCGCTATGTGAACTAGCAGTATACATGATGTCAAAGTTTTCCATGTTACTGTCTCAAAGTTATTGGTTTGCAATATGTGAACTAGCAATATATATTAACGAATGAAAAAAATCCATTTTTTTGTATAAATATGTATTTTGGAATCAATTAATATTTGTTGATCAGAAACATATTTGCCTATTAAAGGTGCAATACGTAGATGATTTTTGAAATATAAGTAGGAATGCCGTTCAACAGAATAGGAAAATATTTAAAATATTGTTTTCCTTCGATATCCTCAATCCCAACTTCTGTTCCAGATGCATCCTTTTTTATTTAATATAACATCATCATAAAACATTATAACAAAATGTTTACTATTTACCCCCCATGTAGTCTTTGGTTAATTAATTTCCCACCTTGAATAATTTTGTGACTGTATTTTTCATTTATGAAAGAGAATGTACCTTTTATGTGCGCTGGTATATGAGTCTGCTCTAACTCTGACACTCTATTTTTTAAGAGATCAAAGTCATCCATGATACTCTTCCTAGCTTTCTTATCAAAATTTCTCGTCTCCAAAGAAGACGTTTCTTTTTTCAATGTTCCATTACTCAAACGAGAAATTGCCTAAAAATTTTCAAAGAAAATAATCAATTTTCAAGTGAACACCAGATAATGTACAGGTACATAAAATACGGTAGATAAGCCTATGTTTCCGTTAAATGGCATTGAATTTGTGTGACATTTACTTGACTGAGAAAATCATTTGTTCAACGGATTTTATATAACACGTGTCTTGTAAGAAAACTGAGGTTAATTTCATTAAGTTGGAGATAAATTGAATGTTCACCTCTGATAAATCAAACCATTTCCTTTGGAAAGTCAGTTGATCCATTGAAGTCCTCCCATGACAAATGGAGTTTCTGTGTATCCTTACGCGCTCTATATCATCAGTAAGAGAGGTACTGTGAGGGCGGGGATCTTTTCCCCAACCGTTAGAGGGAGCCTTAACACTAACTGTATTACGGAAAAGAGTGTAGAGCAAAGTTGTATCAAAGTTTGTCGTCGATACCAGACAGACTGAAATGAAATATAATGCTCTGTTGAGTAAACATTTCAAAAATAAAAATGTTTTAAACTTTATATCTTATTACGGAGTATATTTGCATAAAATCTGTCCTTAGAAAAAGAAGCTTATTATGACATTCTTCTTATATAATCAGTTTGGGGAATTTCAATGGACTTTTATATCCTTTACTTGGGAAAAGGACTTTCATCTGCTGAGAAGTACATCTCTCCTTTAGTTTGCGTATATGAGTCTGTAGATGAGAAGCCAGGACGGGTGGTGGAACTTTACTGTCAAATGCCATCCTCAGAGCTTCGGTGCCCAGTTGTGCCAACAATAAAAACCTCAAGAACCTATTTTCATCCTCTGTAATGGCGTCATCATTGTCATCTGTTCCAAAAATGTGAAGATAACGAAAGACAATCAAACAAACAATACAAATTGTAAGCAGAACGAACAAAGACTTCTAAAACCAGAGGTAGGATTAGGTGTTTTTGATAAGTAAGCACCTCCTGTCGAACCAGCCGCGTGCTCTTTGTCATGATCAAATAAAAGGGAAAAAAATTCCTGGACAACTCATTGAGAAAAAATGGCCAAATATTTCGTATGAAAGAAAGATTCCAATCAACTTTTGAGTTGACGATAAACTGTTGTTACAAATATTCTTACTCTATCGACCATGTAAAGTGCTGTATCGACCATACAAATTTGTACTAGTTCTTAATTATCTCTACTCGAAAGTGGGCTTTGGGGTTTGATCATTTGAGTAAACTTGAATCATCTTTAACCATTAATGTTTTGTGTTGCATTTGTTTAATATTGGTCCAATGATTCTAGAAAATGGGTTGAATTGTGAAAAGTTAACAGACGGACAGGCAGATCGACTAGAGACGAAATTTAATCAGAAAAGCTCACCTGAGGTTTTATCTCAGGTGAGCTAAAATATATCTTGAACAGTTTCTGGTAATATCATCGTACTTTACAGAGAACCCTAAGAACAGTTGAAATGCCTAAATTGTTACATGAAAAGGACGGTTTTAATTAATTCAGATTTGAAAGAAATATACATGTCACCATGATTTAAAAAAAATAGTACAGAAAGTATAGACAAAAATATGCAAAAATATGCTACACTAAGAACCTAGTAATTGTTTTTACAAAGAATGGTGCCTAGGAAAAAAGAAACCAATTGGCATAACAAAAGTTTATATTTGTATACCATTTTGAATTATAGACTGTATGATAAACGTTTTATTACTTACACGTAAGGGTTAAGTGTGAAGACGCTGTTGTACAACTCGAACAAGTCGATGTTGATGAGGAGGCGGTGGTGCTACAAGTTGTGGCTGATGAACTGACAGAGGACTGGATGGGTACTTTAATTGACTGACTCGTGCCTTGGCTATTAACTACCGATATTGATTGAATATTTGCCAGCGTCGTTTGGTTGTTACTTCTTGTTGCAATTTGACTATTGCTAGTGGCAGGAGATGTTGAATTAGTATAACTCAAACTGTTGGAAGAAAATATTTGGGGGATGATTTGAGTAGCAATGGATTGCATCGTTCCATGATTATTAGAATTCCTCGTACTTGACAAATTGTTTTGTGGTAGGGGGGAGGATGTCTGAGTCGAAGCTGCCGTCTGATGAATTTGTGGTATTTGTGTTCTTGGTTTCTTGGATTTTCTCCTCGGGTGCAGCACAGGTTTTTGATAGAAAGGTTTTCCTGTAAGGGATACAGTCATATATATGTATTGTTGTGAGATGTGTATTGTTTCATTATGTATATAATTAGTAACATTAAGTATCTTGAACGTTCCAGAGTGGTCAACATTTTCGGTCATTTTATCTAGAACATTCTTAAATTTTGTGTATGTCCAGATTGTTCCAGTAATATCATGTTTTAACATTTTCTAGAATATTCTAGATTTATGATACTGTATAAATACCCTGTCAATTCGATGCATAGAGATACTTTGTTTTATAAGCACTATTGAGATATAACTGGGATTTATATTTTCACTGGGACATTGTGTGCAGAAACGAACACTCTGATGTATGTATTCTTAGATTCTTGCTAAGTTTGTATTTTATGTTTCATATACTTATGATATATTACTGTAAATAAATTAACGTTTAGTTTAAATTGTGTTATTGATCTTTGCTGGCATTTCGAGTAATTCTGACCCATAACAGTATTATACATGTATATAAAAAATATTATTAAAAATATATATTTAATGTTCTAATCAACTATTCATATATATATATATATATATATATATATATATATATATATATATATATATATATATATATATATATATATATATATATATATATATATATATATATATATATTAAGGATGGCACTCGAATACATATTTTGATTTTTAAAAGATGCCATTGATTTTTCACTGACTGTTAATCATCTCCCCCTTAGAAGAGGGCATGGCCCTTCATTTGATCTAACTTGAAACCCATCACCTAAGGATACTTTATGGTACGTTTAGTTGAAACTGGCCCATTGGTTCTTGAAAAGAAGATGTAAATGTAAGTTTACGACGCCAACGACAACAACAACGATGACGACAGACAACGGACAAATTTTGATAAGAAAAGGTCATTTGAGCCTTCGGCTCAGGTAAGCTTATAAAACAGAAATATTTTGATGGCAACATCAATAAGAAAAATTACCAAGTATGCAGTGTTTCTTGCTGGGTATCAAACTATGCTGTTCAAAGTTTGCCTTTCTTTTTTGTTGATATATTGACCTTTGAGCAGACTCCGAAAACCCTAGAATATTATATTTTTACTATAATTATTATTCAAATTCATTGTTCTGAAATAATAACATTTGCGAACGTTTTCGTTTAATATTTAATAAAAAGTGACATACATTAAGCACACAGGACAAAATTTCTTTTGAAATACCATGCAAAAAGTATCAAATCTGTGAAAAATTTAAAAATGACAAACCTATTCTTTTGAAAAGGGATTTATCGTTCTTATACCTACGCTTATTAGCTTGTCTGATGCAAGATAAGCTATGAAGAAACAAAGAAATATTATTCTTTACTTTCACTCAATATCACCAGCATTTCCATCATCGTGGTGTTTTAAAGATGTTACATATATTTCAATATTGAAGAAAAATCCTATAATTTTCTGTTAGAAATGAATTGCTATAAATCTAAAACACATTCTTGTTATTTTATCAGACTTAAAAATTCATCTCTTTATATAAGCACTTCTTTGAAATTTTGAAAATATCATCATCATTGAACGAATTTTCTTAACACCCCTTATAATTAGATGTAAGGTTTTATCGCATGGATCAACCTGTGTTTATATCCCGATGAAAATTTAGCAATGATACTAGTACCTTATTTTTTAAATGCACATATATACCTTTTCTTTTGTTTAGTTCTTTGATAATCTTGTGTCTGTATCCATACTCCTGTACTCCAGCCTCCTTCAAATTTTCTGAAGTCATCTCCTTTAAAATATCCATGGTAATCTTCTGTCTGGAGAACAGTTCTGTGAGGCAGTCAAGGCCAATACTCATCAGAAACTGGGTCACAGCCTCGTCTTCATCTTCCCTGCCCTCCGGCATTTCTGGTCCAGAAGTACCAGCCATGTAAATACCTAATATCAAAGTGTCAATTTGAAAATTAATTCTTTTATTAAACTCATTGTTTTGAAAACAATAAATAAGAATATGTTATAGCCCTTGCAAAAGACTAAAAATATTTTTTTTTCTAGTATTAGTATTATTTCCATCTGCGGACTTCGTCTTGAGATAAAATCATGAGTAAATTTTAATTTGTTATCATCGTCGCAAACCACGGACAAGATTACGATTCTCTCCCATTCTGGTCGTGGTTAAATGAAAAGAGAATTTTTCGTAGCTCATTAAAATATTGACCAATGCGAGCAATGCATAGTGGATAATGAACTTTGTCGCGACCTTTCAATATCCAATCTCAAAAACGAAATATTTGTTGTAAACTGTTGATGTCAATTGTTGATCCAATTGCAATGGAAACAAATATCGTTATTGGCTGAATATATTGTCACAAAAGAGTAGCAAAATATTAGAGATTACGACAGTTTTTATGATGACAAAATTGATTTTTCATTTCGAACATTAAATTTTGCATATTAGAACACTCTCCTGTATTTTCTGTATTACTTTATTAATTCATTTCTGTCATCGAAATCAAGACAATAATACTGATACATTTTCATAATTCTTAACAGAGTTCAGTTGATATTCTTTACTACAGACATATCAAACTTCTTTTCCTGCTCTCAGATTAAATGGATTTGTGTCACTCTTGAGTGCATGTAGTATTTAACCTCAATAACCCATTTTGATGTTTAGTTTTTAACACGGAAGCAGGAAAACTTTAAAGGTGTAATAAGGTTTAAGTCTTTAGGAAATATATCTATTTGAAAAAATGAATTTTTGTAATATAACGTTCTCTATATATTTTGAAAATTTCTAAGAAGGTATGAAGGTATAAAATTGAACTTCTCATAAAAAATATTTCCAAAATATTTTTTTTTAAATTTTTTTAAAATAATCTTGCCCAAGTCGCATTTAAAATGCTTTTGATAACGTGTTAAGATAAGCCCTAAAAATTGGTCAACAAAAATAAAATTTTAAAATAGTGTGGCGAAAAAAAAGATCTATTATAAGACAAAATCCAATCAGCGTTTCGTGAACGTCTACTCCCTACATATATAAACTGTATAACTCAAATAATGAGCCCATCTAAATGACGGTTACCTGAGCTTAAAAATGTATGAAATTCAATAAACTCCCTGAATTTATAAGACTGTGACAAAGACTGATATAGGGAAAATCTTGACAATAAGTCCTTTGAAAAAAAATAATTGTCAAATTATTATAGAAAATTTTTGTTTCAACAAAGGCATAAAAAGTGTGTGTGTGTTTTTTTTCATTAAATATTTCTTTCTTTATCTAATATGGTTGTGAAGAGTTCACATGAATTTAAATACTACAATTTTAAATAAAACTGTAAGAACTGCTTTCATTTTAAAGTATATTGCTATCTTTTCTAGTCCAACTTTTGTCTATATTATGTATTTTTATACGTTGTTTATTTGTGAGCAATTGTAAAAATAAAGTTTATAAGCAGTTTTCATTTTTTATTTGAAAGAAAACGAAAACAACACTAGTAACCTGTCAAAATGAGGTTATTATCAACTTGTTAAAAAACAAAGTTCTAAATAAATGTGAATTTCACAGAATCATTTATATTTCAGATCGTTGAGATACTGTAGTTTTTTTTTTTGATAAAAATTTTGGGATAGGGGGGTTAAAATAAAGACATGAATTTTTTTACCCCAAGTACAACCTTACTATTCCTCTTTAATGTGTTTCACCCGTTTATATTGTGTCATAGTGCTTGTAATGAAATGTACTGACATAATGATATATAACTAAAAATACTCATATGAAAAACGCTTGTTTAGTACCTTGAAACATAGTAATTTAATCACATAAATTGTAGTTTGGAATATATCCTTTATCAGAAAAATAAACATTTGATTTAGACTATTAAATCAAGATAATATGGGTAACGCAGGTCAACTCTACCTGTTCCCCTCTGAGGGCTTCTTAATTGAGTGTGATAATTATACTATTTACATGTATATAGGTAGTAGACGTTCGGGGAATAAACCGCATGCTATGGAGGAGGAAGAGTAAAAACAATTTGTAATTCTCAATTTAAAGCTGACACGCATTTTTAAAAAGGCATAATTTTTCATCTTTGAACGACGTACTACATCTCTGTACAATTTTGTCCGCCATATTTCTTCAACTCCGCCATATTTCAATCGCATCATCTCGTGTCCGTCAAAGTTCGAAAAAGCAACCTCGGAGGTCGTTTTTCCGCTAGTCGGAAAGGCCCGAGAAGTTGCGATTGCGCAATATTCATTTGAAATTATTTTGCTACCTACTATATACTTTTGTACCTGCTACATATATATAATCTGGTACATTTGTTTCACTTGAGCAATTTTCTAGCCTGCCTGTCGACATGTACTCATCTCCTATAGCATTTTTTTTAAAACCATTACCATAATATGACCATATACATGTTTGTAAAGTAACTTTTATTGAAATATGCAACTTAGAAGTCATGTAATCCATTGATAACTCAACAGTAAAAAATGGTTACAATATAGCACACGGACACACGTGAATTCTGTATATTCTATTTTTTTGCAATCAGATATGGATTCTGTTGAAAATTACGCCATACGATGGGCCAGATATAAAAAAGAAAACGTTGGCACCTGGTCAGAATGGATTATATGTATCTGATCCATGTTAAAGTATGGTATTAAATGATTTAGGGGCAATATGAAAAGCATCTATCCTTCTGTGCTCAATAATCCAGATGTAAAAAAAATGATTGATTACATGATCAGTACGTACCGGTCCCTGCCGACAAAGCAGGTAACAACAATATCTTTGTTTGAAAGGCTTATTATATAAAATGTATTTTAGAAGAACTTGGATTAAAGCAATATAAGCTGCATGTTTTACATCGAAAAAAAAATCAAATTTGTTATGAACTATTTTAATGACAAGAAAATAAAACGTTTATAAACTTCTTTTGTTCATATTTGCTGTGGAAGAACTTTTTATAAGCTTTGATTGAGGCAAAATTGAATTATTGTCGTCCTGTACAATAATGATTTCTTATATAATACTGTTTGTTCGGTTGTACAGAAATATTTCTTCTAAATCATTTTAAAAAAAACTTTTTTAGCTGGGCTTATTGCTCAAAGAGAATTGTCCGTTTATGTGATCCTGTTCAAGGCAGGATGTTAACCCCATTGTCGCCATTTTAAAGATGCGTGCAAAAATATAGTTCTTACTCTCAACAGCTTTCGAGATAATACAAACGCTAAACAACAAAAATAAAATGAAGTTTTATCTATATAAAATAAACATAAGTAGTAATGACTTTGAAAACTTCATAAGTCAAAGAACATAGTTCATTAGCGTAAGGGTTTTTGATAATCAGTGTTACCGTAGTTCTCTACACATACCAGGTAAAGCAGGAGAGGGAACCAGACCGGTCTGTTTGGTTACATTCAGCTGTGGTACCAGACTAATTCTGATTCTGACAAAATCGGACCGTGGTATAAGGATTGAAAAACTTCCTGTCAGTGTCTTATCATTTATATTGATAGTTTTAAAATAGTTTTTTCATCAGAATATAAACGTGATTCATGTGAGAAATCCATTCTACTCTGTAAATGAGCCCGGCTCTCTGTACTTCTTCTGAGTACTTTGATTTTGGTCTTATTGATCATAATGGTTTAGAAAACATACAGATTAATCATAATAACACATTTTACCAGCGAAATAATACTCTCAAAAATGCAGCTCATATTGCTTTAAATTCTACAAGAGGTAATCCAACTTATGTTCATACTTCCCTTTCTAAGGAATACAGTTTTCAAATATATGTCACTTTTGAATATTTTCAATATTCCGCAGAGCCAGAATGAATTTGAACTAACCTATATATATATTGGATTCCGAAGCTTCATAAAACTCCTTACGAACAAAGAGTTTCAGTAAATGTTAAACCAAGCCTCTTTCGTTACTCCTCAATAAAATATTGACAGTAGGGAAGGAAATACTTCAAGAGTACTGTGCAACAATATATTCAAGAAGTGGTGTGAATCAGATGTAGATACTCAAAATTTCGAAAGAACTTTTGGACAATTTGAAATCAAAAGATTTTACCAAAATCAACAGCTTAAAAACTTATGACATTTCAACTTTATACACAACCATTCCCCACAATAAATTAAAGTCCAGTCTTTTTGGTATCATTGAAAGCTGCTTTTTGAATTAAGAAAAATGGTACGCGTAAAATTAATTTCCTAGTCATTGGTCATTTGCAAAATTATTTTGTTTAACCACATTCTGATTACAAACACAAGTACTCTGAAATTGACATCTAAGAGATGCTTAAGTTTCTGATTGACAATATGTACCGTATATATATACTCGCCTATAAGTCGGTCCGCCTATAAGTCGGTTGTATTTTTTGACGTTGGGATTTGTTATTGACCCGCTCATAAGTCGGAGCTTTTTTTTGGCAAAATTCTGGTGACAATTTCAAGTAAATAAATTGGCTTTTAAATACAAAAAAAAATTTAAAATGTGTAATACTTGTACTTTATATGAATAAATTCAGACATTTTCTTTGATACCGTATATACTCGCCTATAAGTCGGTATTTTGGGAGTTAAATATTGGTCTAAAACTCTATGTCCGACTTATAGGCGAGTCATAAAGAGACAGGTAATTTATTGGGGCTAAAAGGTAGTATCATATTTGCATTTCCGACGATTATCAAAGAAATTGTCTGGATATATAAGAGAATTTATGTATTCTTAGATTATAAATATAAAGTGCAAGTATATACATATTTTAATAATTCTATTTGCATTTTAATTGACATTTTTTTATGTTTGATAATTGAAGATTGAATATCAGTGTCATTTTGAAAAATATTAATTGAAACCAGGCTAAAATATCAATGGATTCCCTTGAAATTGTCACCAGATTTTGGCAAAAATGATGCACCAACTTATAAGCCGGTCAATAGCA